TATCTCATCATCATCTCCATCATCATCTCCATCATCATCTCCATCATCATCATCATCATCATCATGCGAGAACAATATCTGGCTCATACCTGTTGTCCAAAGTTTCCTCTGCCGAATGAAATCACGAGCCCGTCACATGTTAGCAAGAGGGAGTGATTCGATCCGCACCTGCCCCTCAGTCTCACCTGAGCAAAAGAACAAAGTGCTACGGAATAATCATGACAATGATGATCAGGATGATGATGAAGATAATGATGATAAAGATATTTCTCATACACAAGAAACCTTACGCGATCGATCTGACGTCTTCAACGCTTACTGAAACCTGTTGTGGAACAAGGTTGATCTTTCTTCTTGTGAACAATCTTGTTGTCGAGCTCTCGTCATATTGCGGAATATCATTATTCTTCAAATGATCGCTGGTTCCACACTCCCCGTACATGTTTGATCCCCACGCGTACAGCTCAACTCTTCCATGCTCTTGGTCGTACACAGATGCTACGGTATGTGACCCTCCGCATGCCACCAGGAAGGCTCTATGAGGAAGAGAAGAGACCTCCCGTGGTTGCGGCTCGTTTTTCTGCGATCATCATCATCTCCATTGTCATCATCAAGTTCATCAACATCACCACCACCATCACCATCACCGTCATCTCCATCATCTCCATCATCATCATCATCATCATCATCTCCATCATCATCATCATCATCATCTCCATCATCATTATCTCCATCATCTCCAACATCATCTCCAACATCATTATCTCCATCATCTCCACCTCCACCACTACCATCTCCGTCATCAACATTTGCAATTTGCATACTGCGGCATAAAGTCCTTCCCATCATCGGCATCTCTACCATCATCACAAGCAGCAACACGAGATCACTTCATCTCCATCTACATCAACACACGTTTCCTCCTCCTACCTCTCCTCCATGCCCCAGCCTCCCGTACTTGCCACATCCCCACGTCCAAATTCTGCCGCAAGCAGCCAGGCAACTCGAGTGTGCTGACCCGCAGGCGACGAGAACGATCCCCATCCCCGCAAGTCGCTTCACCTCCATCGGCTGCCTGCTTGTCACCTCCCTCCCCTTCTCGTCCACCAGCCCGATCTGCCCATACTCGCCGCTCCCCCACGCAAAGACCCTTCTCCCTGCTAGGTCCCTGTACCTGTCGTACAGGGTCCGAAGCTCGTTGCTCCATGCTCTGTGCTCGCTGGTCCAGCCTCTTCTCCGGCACTGTGTCTCCCATACAGCATCGCTGCACGCCACCTCCCTCCACTGTCTACAGACGCACGAGCAAGTCCCAAGCTCCTTGGGAGTCAGTGAGAGGAAAATCTTGACGACCATGTCAACGTCGAAGTCATCGAAGAAACATTGACATGAGATCTCCATCGAGGCCAGTACGGCTGCCTCCTCCTCCAGCAATCCCTCCTCCGTGTACTTCTTGAAGATCCTCTCATAGAGCACGGAGGGTGTTCTCGCAGCAACATCACCTCTTCGCAACATGTCCGCGTCTTGACTTCTCCGCACTCCTTGCACCTCGTCTTCACAGTGCGCTGAGCTGTTCTTATTCTTGAAACAACATGTAGAATGATCGACGTTGCTACTCTCCTCCTCAAAAATCCCGACTCCCTCCGTTTCTCCCGAACTCTCTCTGTTGCTTTTGACCTCGCTGACTACCCCTCCTCTCATATCTGGCTCAGAAGTAGACTCCATCTTTTCCAGCCGAGACTTTCCTTCATTTCCTACATCTCTCATGGTAACTGGCATGTTCTCTTGCCCGTTTTTCCGCCTTCTGATCTGCTTCCTGAGTTCACTTGCTCCAACATCTTCTTTCAGAAAATAAGGTTGCCTTCCCTTATCCCACTTATCATCATCATCCTCCTCCTCCTCCTCCTCCTCCTCCTCCTCCTCATCCTCATCCTCGTTCTTCTTCTCGTTCTCTTCCTCTTGAACATTATCCTCCTCCTCCTCCTCCTCCTCCTCCTTCTCCTCCTCCTCCTCACGGAAGTAGATTCTCCATCCTTCCTCCCACGCCATCGCCCGACCCCAGACCCGACAAACTCGGCTCCGGAGCGGGCTCGCTGGAAATCAAGTCTCAGCCTGGCAGTCGGATCATCCGATCAGCCTGATGTTGACCCGGGTGACCCGGGCCGCTGCCGGGCCCGGTGACTCACAACCGCCGGCCCGAAAACTGAAACGCACGCACTGATCGGACTCGGAGAGCTTTATGAGTAGGGCCAGGTGACAGCAGTGAAACTGCCCGACCACCATCATGCTCCCTCCCCTCCTGCCTACTAGCGGCGGACGGGCCGTCACAAGTAGCTACCCCGGCTGTACTGCCAGTCACATCACTCCGAATACCGTGCCTCCACTGCCATGTCCTGAGAGTCAGCGGCTTCATAAGTTACAACATGATCTCAGTCCTCCCCGCTGATCTTCTCGGATGTTGCATGTAGTGTTGATAGCCGACATCTCATCTTTGTTGCGAACTTGATGCGCAAAGGATCTCAAGAAATCCTCTTCAGTCCTCTGTTGTGCCGTTACCATGTTCACCTTCCTCCTCTGACGACGCTGGTGCAGGTGACTGACCACCGTGCTCGGGTATCGAGGATGCGGCGATGAGATCTTATCACAAGCATGTGAGCCTGAAGGATCCCCGTGAGAGCTGAAGGAGACGGCCGTGCCTTGCTCGTTCTTCCTCCTCCATCATGTCAAGGAGCCTCAAGTCGGTCAAGGAGGTGTTCTGGTTTCAACCCAACAACTACCCGGCGACCAAGGAGGAGACGCTGGAGCTGGAGCGGCTGCTGTACCCGATCTCAGGGAGGAATATCTCGATGAGACCTGACAATCCTCCTCCTCGTCTGCTCGAGCTGCTGGTCAGGATGTCAACCTTTACGCAGACCGAGATCGATCTCATCCTGCAGTGCCTCTCGCTGTACAAGGATCAGATCGCCCTGAAGGAGCTCGGTCCTATCGCTTCCAAGTCCATGAGGCGCGTCATGGGGGACCATGTTGGGCTGCCCGAGCTCACCAGGTTCTTCCTCGATCGAGCCAAGGCTGGGCTGAACAAGGTGAAGGACGAGGACAGGAGGAGGGAGGAGGAGGAGGAGGAGGAGGAGGAGGAGGAGGAGGAGGGAAGAGGAGGAGGAGGAGGGAGGAGGGAGGAGGAGGCTGAATGGAGGCTGGCAGACCATCGTCAAGAACAACAAACGGCAGACGAAGCTGCGTGCGGAGACTCACAAAGTGCAGGAGACGTTTGAGAAGGCGTACAAGGACATTCACTTTGCGGTCTGTTGCGTCGACATGGCGGGACAAGATCTGATGCTTGTCTGTCAGAGGAAGCACATGTGGTACAAGGAGAAGAGCATGGCGGAGGCCAAGGCGTCGGCAGAGGCAAGTCGTCAGAGAGAGCTGAGCCTCGTGAAGGCGCAGTACTCTAACATCTGTGAGCTGGGATGCAGCTGAAGTCTGCTGCTGATGTTGGTCCTCAAGGTTCCGACTTGGAATCCCAGCAAGAGTTCTACGCCACCTGGAAGAAGATGGAAGGAGAGCCGAGCGGTAGCTTCCGCAGGTGCTTCCGCTCGGGTTGGAGGAGGGGCGGTTGACAGAGTCTGCTCAGTCTCAACAGCATCTTTCACGATCGCAACTTCAAGAGAACGATGCGGTACCTCCATGAGACGGTTGTGATACTTGACGTCTGACTGGCCCTCTCCCCCCAGTCAGAACAAGACGCAGGCGGAAAGGGCGGAGAAGGTGGAGGCAGATGCTCTGGAGTATGCGCTACAACAGATGCAGCAGGAGCAGCACGACAAGACAGAGGAAGTCAGGTGAGCCCTCCTTGTCCCTCCTCCCTCCTCCCCTGTTGACTGAGATCATCGCTGCAGTCGGCCTGTCTCCCCGACCCGCGAGATCTCAGAGGTGAAATTCGACGAGCGTCCCTAGAGGAACCGAGTCATGCTTGTCTTCTGCAGACCTTGTTCGGCCCTGACGATATCCCGGACGCGAGCTTGTTTGAGATGTGATCTGGTCACCCCCAGTTGAGCGTTTCTCACCTCCTCACAGGCCCTTCCATAAGCTCAAGGAGCACATGACGAGAGAATATAGGAGGAGGTCCCCCTCCTCCCTGCCTCCCTCCCTCCCTCCCTCCCTCCCTCCCTTCCTCCCTTCCTCCCTGCCTCCCTGCCTCCCTGCCTCCCTCTCACCATCTTGCCTCCCTCCCTCCCTCCCTCCCTCCCTCCCTCTCCATCCCTCCCTGTCTGACCGCGCTCCTTTGGTCAGATTGCAACAGAAGCAACTCTGGAAGCGCAATTCTCAGCTCTCCCTCCAGGAGAAGCAGGACATCAGGTTGCAGCCAGGAGAGACTCCCAGCAGAGCCTCCGACAAGTCCCTCAGACGGCTCGACTCTCTCGCCAGGAAGCAGGAGATCGCGCTTTACTGTCTCAACAAGGTCCGGTCCCTCCATGACTCTGTCGGCCTCGATGTACCTGTGGACGACATCAAAGCTCTCCTCCTTGACTTGTTGACCTTCGCCGTCGACGTCTCCAGGGTCTCGCAGCAGGAGGTAACACCCTCTCTAGCTCCTGCTCCTGCTCCTGCTCCTGCTCCTGCTCCTCCTCCACAACCACCACCACCTGACATCGTCAGCAGCTGCAGTGGGTCCTGAGGGAATCGGATGTCGAGGAGGACGGGAAGAGCGGGGAGCAGGTCAAGAATCTCAACTACAACAAACTGTTGGATGCCTCGCTCCTTCTCTTGCTCTACAAGCTCAACGGCCAGCACATCAACACCAGGGTGAACCAGTTCTCCTGGACCAGCGACCTTGCGGGACAGAGAGACAAAGTACAGGATGTGATGAACTTGCTCAACGACGGCATACAGGTCATGCCGCAAGAAGTTGACTTTGTGATGAAGCTCGTCGATCGGTTTCGAGATGTGAGGAAGTTCCCACAAGGTCTGAATGTGTTCCGACGGCCGTCACGGCTGGACACCGGCAACCCGTCGCTGATAAGATCGTTGTTGACCTGGTACTCGTGCGAGTAGTGACAAACATCAAAGCTATGTTTGCCTGTGACTCGTTAAACAACCAAGACTTTTACTTTTGATTTAAACAATCTCATTCAAAGTATAAACATATGAAACAGGAATTGATGCGCCGCCCTCATGGAAGTCGTCCTTGTCTGCCCTTACCAGAGGATAGCAAGTGAAACTGTGAACAGAGTCCAAAACAAAATGAAAGCTGTTGCAAACATGTCACATCTGAGGGCCCTAGCGCGAGTACCCTAGTACTCACCCACTTTCCCGTGCCCTCGTCCAGGAATTCCCATGTGTCTGGAAGCAAACAACGATCAGAGGTCGCAGGACAGACGTCGGACAACTTCCAACCGTGTTGCAAAGCCCCAAGTCAAGGCAAAAAGACTCCCGGCTGCAAGAACCGAAATCAAACATGCGCAGAGACTTCACGGAAATAGCGAGAAGAGCAAAGTAATGATGAGGGAGAGACAGGAAGAGCGAGAGAGATTGAGACATAGAGGACAAAGAAGCAGGATGAAGGGATGAAAGAGGATGCATAAGCTGCTCTCATGGTCTCAGGAAAGCAACGGAAGCGTCCTGACCAGCTGCCAAACGTCTCGGCAATCGCTTGAAGGTATCCGACATGTCACTGATGGCTTTCCCTGGTCCGCATCGTCACTGGCAATGAGAGGATGTGCATGCTGCATACTGAGATCCTCTATGCTGTCCCCTTCGCAGACATCTCGACCTGACCTATCGTACCTGTAGTATCGACACTGGCGAGAAAGTAAGTAGCGCAGAGCAGATCGGCTCATGGTTACCTTGAGGAATTTCATTGCACGGATGCCTGCCCATTCTCCCACCGAAGGGACTCGGGGAGGTGCAACAGATGGCTGGAAGCTGACCACGATGACGAAGAGGAGGAGGAGAAGATTCCTCCCTGGAAGAGGTAAGTCAGCGATCGGGGCCAGGAGTGGGGAAGGGCAAGGAAGTCCACGCTGGACTGGAGGGATGAAGTAGAACGAAAGAAAATGGGAAGGAAGAAGATGAGCACTGATGTATAAGATCTCGTTCTATCAGACTCCAGCTACACCTGAGCCTCACTCGATCAACCTCTGCCTTTTTTGCGATATTGCTACTCCTTACAACTTAGACTGTCAGACCCTCCCCTCCATTCTGACCGGCCCCTGCCGACACATCACTGCTGTATATTTCAGCGCTGCTGATCGCTACGTTACACATGCTATTCTTGTTTCCACTACTACTAACAATCCACGTAGCATTGCTATCCAACAACTCAGTACATGTAATCCAAGCCGTTTCTCTCAAATGTGTGTCCAGCTTATGTCACAATATCGCATTCTCTCATTATCGCTCGTTCAGATATCTCAATCTTCTGTTCCTCCTCCTCCTCCTCCTCCTCTCATCGCGAACTTTCACCGCTCCCACTCACCCGCCATCGCCAGGCCTTGCACGACTTGGGAGATAATTGACCGATAAATGGAAAGTTTTCTCTTTCTATTTCAATTTTCATCGATATATTTGAACCTTTTCACACAAACCGTTAAGGTTCCTGAAACTTTGAAATTTCAAAAACAGTTTCCTCACTGGCACGAAAGTTTCAAAGTTTACAGACTTCGAAAGTAGAAACTATCGACCACATCCCCGCTATGACCATCGGATCGCTGACGAGGTAGTAAGTACCCCAGGGTAGTACCCGCCCTCCCCCCCAAATCAGGTGACACCACCCACCCGTTTTTCAGCGATCCAAATTCTGGTGGTACTTAAGGAAACTATTAGACAACAATTGAACTTTAGATCAAACAATTTCAGTAATTTGCACGATCCCAGATCATCCTATGTCACGGACCGGTCCTTTGCGAGTCATGGACTACCCACCCGCGGATCACAGAGCACCACAGAACGAGTTAAAACCACCCACCGTTCAACCGACGCTCCTCACGGTGGGGTACTTTTGGGAAAATACAGGGGTACTTGAGGAAAAGTAGGGGTGTAGTGTCCCACCCTGTCCACAGAATGACCCGACCCCTTGCAGAGACCGCTATATGGAACTACCCCACCCTCTCTGGTCCCAGCAGGTTGGGTCATGACCCTACCTTTTCTATTCAGATTACCCTGGATCACTAGAGAAACATACCCACCCCCGAACAGGAGACTCGTTTCCCTATACCACCCCACCCCCTACATCTTGCGCCCCCAGGGTGTCCTAATCCTCCTCCTTGAACATCTTGGTCTTTCCCGTACCTTCTCTCGCCACAGAACTCCCTCCAAACCCATCTGAACTAGCTCCCAAACCCATCTGAACTAGCTCCCAACCCCATCTGAACTACCTCCTAAACCCATCTGAACTAGCTCCCAACCCCATCTGAACTACCTCCCAAAACCCATCAACTCACTTCATTCAGAAAATGGAACGCATCTTCGGCAAAGAGGCAAAGCTTATTGATAATACTGGAAATGAGACGGCAGTATCCTCCTTGTCTAGTTATGAGGTCGTTGGTCTGTACTTCTCTGCACATTGGTGCCCACCATGCCGTGGATTCACACCAAGGCTAGCTTCAACCTACAAGAATTTGCAGGAGAAAGGAAAGTCCTTTGTGATCGTATTCATATCCTCAGACAAGGACATTGAGTCATTCAAAGAATATCACTCCGAGATGCCCTGGTTGGCTCTGTCGTTCGAAGAGAGGGAGCTGAAGGCGAAGCTCTCTCGACGATTCAAAGTCACCGGAATTCCATCCCTCATCTTCCTCAACGGGGCATCAGGCAAGGTAATCACCAAGAATGGCCGTCGGTTCATCTCGGAGGATCCGAATGGTGAAAAGTTCCCGTGGAACCCTCCCTCTCTGTTCGAGTTGCTGGGTGACAAAGTGATCGATCACGAGGGCGGGGAGACCGACCTCAAGGCCAAGGTCGCTGGCAAGACCCTTGGCTTGTACTTCAGTGCCCACTGGTGCCCTCCATGTAAGAAGTTCACACCCATTCTCTGCGACACCTACAAGAAGATCAAGGAGTCCAAGGAGTTCGAGATCATCTTCGTGTCGGCTGACCGTGACGAGAAGCAGTTCCAAACATACTTCCAGACCATGCCCTGGTTGGCCCTGCCCTTCTCAGAGTCTCACAATGAGAGCTTGTCGTCGTACTTTGACGTCGACGGCATCCCCACCCTGGTTCTGATCGATTCTGACGGCAACATCATCACCAAGGAGGGTTACGATGTGGTTGGCAACGACAAGGATGGAAAGAACTTCCCTTGGGCTCCCAAGGCCGTCAAGGACATTGAATCTTGCGCTGAGTTGAACTCTTCAGCTTGCGTTGTCGTTTTGGCCGATGAATGCCCCCCCGAAGAGAGATCGCAAATCTCGGACGATCTCACGAAAGTGGCTGAAGAGTTCATCGCCAAGGCCAGGAAGATGGACGAGGATGCAGAGTGTGTCTTCACGTTGGCTGCAGAGGCCGGTACGGTCGCGTCCAAAATCCGGACAGTTTGCAAGGTGGAATCGGACAAGACTTGCAAGATGTTGATTCTGGATGTTGGTGATGATGGCGCCTACTATTCCTTCAAGGGCTCGACGATCGATCGAGAATCCATCTCAAAGTTTGTGATTGATTTTCAAGAGGGGAAGCTGGAAAAGCAAACCATTTCTATCGACTGAATGCTGTCAGTGATCTAACACTTTAAGGCCCTGCTCGTGGCGTACAGCGAGCATCAAGCTCGAGCCATTGAACATTCCGTTTAGCTTCAGCGTCATGAGTGAGCGGTTACGAAGTTTTATGAAGCCTATCAGTCATCCACCGGTAGATGACTGTTTCCTTACTGCCTGTATTGGCCCACTATGGATGATTGCACTTTTGAAGTTCGCTATTAAGCCTCGCTTGTACAATTAGGCAACAACTCTATGCTCAAACTTTTCAGTGCCACTCCCAGGCGGAGCACGGCCTGGCAGAGAGTAGGCTTCTCTGACGGTTCACCGTCACTGCTTGTCGGATGCTCTTTGCCATTTCGATTGAAGGAAATAAACAACCGTGAACACTTTGGAATTTGAAATCTAAGTGTCGAGTTTGGCATTGACTTTCAATCAAACGTGAATCACTCAGGCGGGATGACTCGGATGATGCGGGCTCACACGAGCACTCAGAACAACAATGATGAGGAGGATGCTCTCCGACCGTAGAGAAGGAACTGGACTCGACAAGATGGTGCGGTAGTTGTGGTCCGAAAAGCATTCAATGCCTAACATAGCACTACTACTAGTTCGCCAGGCTGCCAGCCAGCCGCTTGAAAAGCAAAAATGGCCCTAGCTAGACGTTCTGCTCATCAGCAGTGGCATTTCATACGCGGCTATTCACAGCCTTTGTAAACAGAACCTTAGCTTCCCCTGGTCCATATGCGTCAGGCTCAGTGCGTGACACGCAATAGCCTTGCTGAGTGTAGAAAGCCCTTGTCCTTTCGAGCAATGGTGCCGAGCTTGTTTCAATCATGACCTCCTTGGCACAGGCTTTGGTCGCTGTTGCTTCGAAGAAGTGCAGGAGATTCTTGCCGTAGCCTTTGCCTTGGTACTTTGGATCCACGCCTATCCACCAGAGGTTCCAAACATTTGGATCATCTTCAGTAGGACCAAAGTACATCCATCCCAATACATTCACGTCATCCTGCAGCACGTGGGCTTGATGGCCACTTGGCAGCTTTGCGTCAAGCAAATCGACGATCGTCTTGCCAAGCAAGTCATCAGCTTCACCAGGACCGAATATGCCTGTATCTTTGCCCAGTTGCACCAATTTGTCGATATCGTCTCTTTGAACCGCTCTCAACATGATCATCTGAGTGAGTTCGATCACTGGCAAGCCTAGCAAACTCAACTTGAGAGTCTTGACGAGTCTACAGCGAGTCCGAGGCCGCCGCGGCACGGTCGTCGACCATCGTTATTGCCGATTATTCCGGCCGCTGCCTCCGAGCCTCCGAGGGGCCGTCCGTTTGTCAACCGTTTGACGACTTTTTTGACCTTCGGAATGAGGCAGTGCGGCGGGCCGGGCCCTCCGAGGCTCGCCGACCGTGCCACGGTCACGGTGTCGGACTGATCAGTGACACCCGGGCCGGGCCGGCCGCCGGGCGGCCAACTTCCGATCCTGACTCAGTGACTGACTCAGTGAGTTTCAGGGCCGCCGCTATCATTGTTTTCTCGGAAGCCATTATGCCGTGACGTCACAAGTAGTTGAAAGTTGGCCGGAGGCTGCCAGTGTGCGGTGACCGTGACGGTGGCCAGTCCGATCCGACACTGGCCCCGTGACCCGACAGACGGTCACGCCGTTCCGAGTTCAAGTCAGCCTGACCGTCCGAAGGTTCACTTGACCGTACTTTGATGGTACGGTCGGAGCTCCCGGAGTCCCTCGGACTCTCAGAGGCCGCAGTCGACTCTCCTGATTGCCGGCCGCGGCGGCCCCTGCCTCGGAGTACGGCCGGGCTGCCCGGGGCCGGGCGGCGGCTCAACTCGGAGCGGCGGCCGGGCCCGGGCCCGACGGCATGGGGCCCCGGGCCCGGATCATCATGATGGCCGCATGCCATCAGCGGCCATGATGGCCGGCGGCTGCCGGCAGGCACCGGTACCGTGCCGTCTCTGTGACACTGAAAACCGAGCAATAAATGTTTAGTAGAATCTTTTCTCTGCATTTTCAAATATACAGATTCAATTTGAAATGGTTCACCAAATCAGCAGTCTGTCCCTTCGTCATGCGGTTGTTCAGCTTGTGCGACGGAACAGGTGGGGGGAGGAGACAGAGAAGTGACAATGAAGAGATGACCTGCGAAGTGATCATCATGAAATATGCTGAGCGGATCATGCGCTGTGCAGCCTGTGTTGTCGTCCTTCTTTCAGTTCATTCTTGATAATATCCGATGTCCGTAGAACGTTCGTTGCTGATGTTTTGTTAGTGGAGAAGTAATGTTTGGCGATGAGACGCTCCATGATTGTTTGTCCCAATATCTTGCATGCAAGTCATACCCCTCTGGTAGTTCTTTCTGTACTCGCTTACTCCCCGTTCCCCTCGTTTCTCTGATCAACGCAATATTTTCTTTCTCGTCTGACGTCACTTTTTGTGTCGTGCTTTTGTTTCTGATCTCATATCGACTCTGTGAACATTTGCTCTCAGTCATTCTACCGAGCATTAGCTCTTATTTATTCTATCCATCATGCCTCGTACGTTAGTAACTCACTTCACAGCGTTCGCTCCTCCTCCCCCACCTCCCACGACTTGCTACGCGCAGCCAGGAGTTTACGCTGCGCCTTGCACTGCCCCTTACCCATACAGCCCTCCAGCCATGGGAACTTACACAACCTGCGCTGCTGACGGCTCGTCCTGTGCCACGTACCCCTGGCCATACCCGGCCCCCTACTCCTACCAGTATCCCATGGCCACCACCTGGACCGCCTACTAGGAGGTGCGCGAAAGGACGAGCTGCAGCTCCAACCTCCCGCATCGGATCCGCCGGCAGCGCATCTTACACCACCGTACATGCTTGTGGAGGGTTGATGAGATGCGGAACATGCAGATTAGAAACAATTTTAACAGCTTTCAGGTGTTATGAAATACATCATGCTCCAGTTTTTTCCTAAACTTTTCGGTCGGGAGAAGAATATTTCGAACAGAGGGTTTCCTCCAAACAACACTGTAGATGGCATCATTAACAGGTACAAGAGAAACAAGCGATGAGATACAACAGATATGAGTGGGAAGGGCTCGTGCAACTCCTTAATCGTTCTTAATTTGCTCACGAACAATCTTCTTCGGAGGCGTCAGGACCTGTGGAAGCGTTTAGAGGAGCAGGAGCGACAACAACTTCCGACGGTCCTACCTTGATCAGACTCGGAAGCTTTTGTCCCTGCGCTCCCACGCCATTGCACTTGATGCCGCCGATGGCCTGGCAGTTGTTGGAAGCATAGAACTGAGCCGCTCCGAAGATGTCCTTGATGGGCAGAGAGGAGAAGTAGAGGAGGACGACTGGGAGGAGCACGGCAAGGTTGAAGAAAACCACTCCGTCCTTGAACTTCTTCTCCGTCTGCGAATCCTTGATCTTAATCTGCTCCTGCAGCACACGAGCATCGTTCAGCACCTGCCCTTGTACATCCTGCCGCTGCAGAGTCTAGCCCTCACCTTCTCGTCCTTCCAGATAACGTCCACACACCTATCAGGATCTCGAAGGAACGAGTCAGCCCTGTTCTCAGCCTCCTCCTTGCTGGACCCGTCGTCCATGAACGCCGACACATATCTCCTCCTCGTCCTCACGATGGCTTGATATGCCTTCTCTTCCGTGTTCTGCAATGTGATCCCCTGCTCCTTCAGCCGATCGACCCTGTCCTCAATCTTCCAGCTCTCAACGACGGCGCCTTGCATGTCCCTCCCCTCCAGATAGCTCTTGTATCTCTCTGCAAGTCTCTTTACACTGTCCTCGTATCCGTCCAATGTTCTTTGCTCGAAGTTTTGCAACATCCATACTCCTCTTCCTCTCCGCACGCAGGCCCCCGTTCGGAGTACACAAGAAGACCGGCCCGCAAACGAAGGAGTGAAGGCTTCACAGCAAGAGGAAAGGACAACTAAGGCGACCAAGACGGCATGACCCGAGCCCAACATCGTTCTTGAACCTCTTCCCGCTCCTCCTCTTCCTGCTTCTTCTCCCTTGTCTTTATATCCAAGGTACTGTCAAACTTCGGAAAGAATTCAAGGGCAAGCCGAAATTTCTCGAAAACAATTTAAAATTTAGGCAACAATTAAGAGCCTTTTGAGGAATAAATTGAAATTTAATAGGTAGATTTGAGCAAGCAGAATCCATCGAAAACCCTGTACTCAGATGTACGGGAGGGATGCGTAGGAGGGAAGGAGAAGACAAGCAGAGAGAGGGGGGGAGGAGGGGAGAGGGAGAGAGGGGGGGGGATCGGAGACAGACAGACAGAGACAGAGAGAGACAGAGGGAGACAGATGGAGACAGAGGGAGAGGGAGGAAGGGGGGGAGGAAGGGAGGGAGGGAGGGAGGGAGGGAGGGAGGGAGGGAGGGAGAGTTAGCGGAGCTGCCATTGGTCGTGAGGAGTTAAGGTTGCAAACTTGATCCTCCAGAACTAGCATCAAATTCCCAACGATGAAGGTTGAACCAAGAAGATATCGGAAGGGGAAGAGAGAGAAGTGAAGGGAAAGGATAGAAAAATTGCCAAATGGGCAAACACAATCCTTGAGATCCTGCGAATGGGAATGATTGCCTGACCGTTTGATGCTCCAGGAGGAGGAAGAGGAATAAGCAGAAGAATGGGTTGTTGGTATCGATCGCTGCTGTGATAACTGCCTCTGAGTACCGTTGCTCTCGCCTACTCCTTTCCTACCCCGCCCTACTCTTCTTATTCCTCTCCTCTCCTTGCTCCTCTCCTCTCCTCTCCTCTCCTCTCCTCTCCTGACTGCAATCCTCTTCCCTTCTTCCTCTCCTCTTCTCTCAACCCCTTCTCATCTTTCCACGCTCAAGCCGCGCTGAGCAGCCATGAACCGGGTTGCTACAGCAGTCACCTCAGTCTTAACGCTCGCCTCCATGCTCTTCCTAGGTTTCATGATCTTCTCCCGGTCAGAGCAGAGGCGGATGCTGGTCTCCAGCTACCAGTCGGGCATGGAGCCTGGGGCCCAGCTCGAGAGCAGCGTGAAGGAGCTCAAGAAGCTCCTCGCCGATATTGACGCTCGGGTGGGCAGGATAGAGCAGCACCTGTTCAGCAGCGGGGGTTCGCGGACGGAGGTCAAGAGCCCAGCTCCAGTCGAGCTGGTCCCGCCGTCTGGCAGTGCACCCAGCAGGCATGGGGGGGAAGTCATCATATCGAGGAAGGAGCCAACGTCCCTCTCGCTCTTCCCCCGCAAGAACGCTTCTGCTGAGGCTCTCCCCAAGGCTGCCTTCGAGTCTTTCCGACTCGTCGTGCTCACGTGCGAGCGAGCTCGCTCCCTCGGCCGCCTCCTGCGCTCGCTGGTTGGCGCCGCCTACGATGGCCTGCCCGCAAACCTGCACGTCCACCAGGATCGAAATTCGAAGGGTGAGCTGGACCCGGAGGTGAAGAAGGTGGTGGACGAGCTTGCCTGGCCGCATGGCAGCAAGGAGTTACACCAGTGGCCGAAGCAGGTAGGCATCATGGGGAACTGGATCGACTCTTGGCAGCCGAGCCAGGACAGTAAGGAGCTGGCGATCTTCCTGGAGGACGACCTCGAGGTCTCTCGTTTCTTCGCTCGCTGGTTCCTCGCTGCCCACAAGCACTTTGCGCATGACGAGTCCGTCTCCTGCTTCTCCGCCATGCGAGCGCAGCTGAGGGCGGCGGACCAGAGGGGGGAGGGGCTCATGGAGAACACGGTGCCGGAGACGGTGCGGGGGTTCAAGTACAGGCTGATGGGGACTTGGAGCTTCTCGCCCAAGGCTCAGCACTGGTTCTTCTTCCGCCAGTGGTTCCACAAGGTCAGCAAGATCTCCAACTTCAAGCCTACTGTGGAGGGCATCATCCCTTCCACGTGGTACGAGGAGTTCCTCAGGAAGGGGACGCAGTCCTCCATGTGGGAGATGTGGTACATCCGCTTCATGGATCAGAAGCAGAAATTCTGCGTCTACCCCTGGGTCAAGTACCGCAGGACCCTCGTGGCGAACTGGAGGGAGCCGGGCCTGCACTACTCGGGGCCTGCGACCATGGACTATCCCGTCCTCACTGAGTGGGACCCTAGCCTGGTTCAGTGGCCTGCCGACGTCCTGACGCTGGGCTGGGACGGGCACGATATGAACGAGCCGAGGAAGATTCGGGGAGCACCTCCTCTGCTTGAGGTCATCAGGAAGTGAAGCTGAGGGAGAGGAAGGAGATCAGAAAGACAAAGTAGAGGAAGGTGTGTGACGTTGACTCGCACCCGCTCCCCGCAGCTGTCAGGCATGATACAAGAGAGTATGTTTCAAGGTTTACAAGTCTAGTAGATCAGAGATTATGTTCACATCGGTTAAAAGCATACCACGTCCCCGCTAGTTTGCACGGCAGGCTTCGCCTTCGCCTTCATAGCCAGCAGGATGTCGGCGGCCGCCAAATCGTTCTGGTCGCACCTGGTCAGGCTCGGGACCTTCTCCTCGATACCCTTGAGCGCGCTAGAGGCCTCCACCGCCACCTCCGGCCGCAGGGCTGCCAGCTTCGGCCATGAAGGCTCCTGGGCGAACATGCCGTTGGAGAACATCAACCCGAGTCGGGCAGGGAGGGAAGAGGCAACGAGGTTGGGAATGTAGATAGAGGGGGCGCTAGCGTTGATGGTGGGAAGGTTGAGCTTCTTTTTCTTCAGGGGGGGCTCCGTCTCTGAGCAGTCGGAGGAGACTGAGCTGTGCATCGCCGGCCGGCCCGTCTCGCTGTTGGAGCGCCGCAGTTCCCGTTCCCAGTGTTCGTGGAACTGACTGCAGACCGAAAGGAACCGTTCCAAAGTGCACTGACCAGAGAAGATGTACGAAGTGTTCTGCAGGGACTGCCATCCTCGCTTCAACACCTCCAGGTCCTCCGGGTCCTTGGGGTTCCTCCATTTCCTGTTGGCAAAGAAGTACCGGGCCGCTGCAGGGGAGCGAAAGTCAGCAGGATCAGCACGATGCGCATGGCGGCATGCTACCTTTGACGTTGTCGCTGTTGTCGAACTCGATGATCGGGGCTCCTGCTCCTCTGTCTCGGATCTTGGAGAATCCGTTCTTCTCCAGCACCTTGTTGAACTCGATCTCCGTCATCCCGTATCGCCCGATCCACGGGTCGTTGTTGCGGATGGCGGACGGGCAGCAGTCTCTGAGCGCCGAGAAGATAGAGAGACTCCCAGAGCGAGCAATCACGTTCCTCCCTTGATTCGAAACCTCACTTGTCACCTGCCAGCAAGACAACCCCTCAGCATGAGCAATCACAAAACAATCCCAACGCCGCCCGTTCTCACCGTGGCAGCGAATTTCAGCCCCAGCGCTTTGTTTTCGTCCGATGCTACCGGACGAACCATCGTCGTTCAGATTTGTTCAGACTTTGACCTCCCCTGTTTCGAATTCTACCGATAGAAAGCACCAAACTCCTCCTACACTCCAATAGCCGATGGTAGCAGGTTGACGGACGATCCTCAAATTCAGCAAGAACCTTTGGTCGAGTTATGGGCAGGATAGGATGGGTTTTTGGAGTGTTTTGCGGAGAGAGGAAAGAGAGCAGTCGTAAGAGTACAGGAAAGCGATGCTGAAGACAATCAGAAGGAGGCGGGGTGCTGTAGAGGGTGCTTGCCAGGAAGTACAGAAAGCGACGAAGGTAAAGAAATCCGACGATCCGGACGTATATGAGAGGGAAAGTAGGTGAAGAAGAGTAGGAAGAGGAGGCTATGGGTAAAGAGGAAGGTAGAAGGGAAGATAGAGCAGCAAGAGAGCGCGGAGGAGGGAGAAGGGAGGAAGATGGAGGGGGGACGGGAAGGTGTGGAGGTACGAAAAGCGCGGAAGCAAGGAGTACCGGTGATATCATCTAAAAAAAGTCTGAATAGTGGGGGTAGGGGTACACTGTTGATGGATAAACGAGAAAGGTGGTGGGTCCCGAGAAAAATTACCTTTTTTTTTGGTTTGAACCGGTGGGGGTCGTACTTTACCGAGGGTGGGGTGGTTATTGGAGGGGTACTTTGTAAACTATTCGCAAGGGTGTTTTCGAAGAAGCTCATCAGTTTGGGGATGGAGACAGGGGTGGAGATGGTATATGTGGGTAGGGGGTACTTATTTCCGGATTTGAAGCGACTTCAACTTTCCAGGGTGGGGTAGTCATTTCAAGGGCAGCATGCTGACACCACCGGTACAAATCATGGAACACTTATGTCCCTGTTGTTTGGTGGGGTCATGGGATGGGGTGGGTGGGTGGTAAAGCCACCCGAATGAGTGGGTACCCACCTCTGACACCTGCAGCTCAAAGTTAAAATGTTTTTAAAACGAATTCTGGGAAATTTTTGGAATCTGAAGGGGTGAGCGGTGGTAGGCAACAGGGGTACGACCACCCCTCGGAGTCCGGTCCAATTTAGTCCACATACAATCACCTTGGGGTAGGGTGATACTTCAACTTAGTGTTTTCGGTATTTTTGGGGTGGGGTGGTTTGAATTTTTACGTGAGATTCTGAAAAATGGATTCGGAATCGACTTCGTTGATGCCACGGGTGGTGAGGAAAATGGGGGAAAACAGGGCATTGATTCCTCATGCAAGAAGGAATATTGAAATTATTTATAGAATTTATGTAGAAACTTTCAAACTCTATAAAAAAGTTTGAATTATGTGCTGTCGCTGCAACATTTACGTAGTAGTACCTTTGATGGCAGAATGTGGGAGAGGGGTGGGGTAGCATGGAGAGGACAAAACAGGAAAAAGCTTGAGCGATGTATGAAAAGGGTGGGTAGAAATATTCTGATAATAGGGGTGGGGTGGGACGATGAGCTGTTCCCATTCTTTGCCCCCCCAAAAAAAGAATAGTTTGTGATAGGTTGACACGTGACACAAGAGGGGGGGTAGTGTACCTCAAGGGAGAGGGTACGGCCTGCAGAGTTGGGGTTTGGGTAGGGTGAAACAAAGGATTTTGAAGGAAACTATAGGGTGGGGTAGTACCAAATTTTCACTAGACCAGGGGGGGGTAGTAGGTCCAAAGATTGCACAGTGCAGCAAAAGTTCAGAGCTGGGGCCGGTAGGACATGACTTCTCCATAAAAAGTTTTCCGGACCTCCGAAGCAACCCAGGGGGTGGTGGATGGAGAAAGTCAAAGGAGGGGTAGTGACCTTGGGGAACGACCCTTTGGGCCGAGAGGTCAGTCAGCAGGTCAGGTAGCGACTGACGACATTGGCCGGTGAACCTGTCAACGTCCGAATCGGGTTTAGTTCAAAATAGCTTTAGTTAGTGATGGTGTACGTAGGTTTAGCTTACTTCTGTTTAGTTATGAGAGCTAGCTAGCGGACCAGGTGCGGCCCTGGTGCGGCCCATGGCGACTGCCATGGCGAGGGAGTGAATGATGGTGTGAGGGAGGAGAGGGAGGAGAGGGAGGAGAAGGAGGGAGGCAGGAGAGAGGTAGAGAGAAGAGGAGAGGACGGTGGGAGGGTGGGAGAGCGTGTGACAGGGAAGAAAGATGGGTATGAAGGAGGGAGGAGACGAGAAGGAAAGGGAAAGGGAAAGGGGAGAGCGATAAGAGAAAAGGGAGATCATCTTGCGAGGATGCTCTGAGACCGCAAGTGAATCCTTCTACTTGAGCATGCTGTGCCGCAACATGGACAGAGTCCCGCGCTGGTGAAGTCACTCTCCGTACAACCATGAAGGAGGCTAGGGCATGTAGCTCCTTCTTCTCCAAGGCTCGACTAAGGCTGCTCGTCTTGTCCTTGGCTCTTCTGCTTGCTCTGGTGGACCTGGTCGTCTCTTCTCATGCGCCCCCGCAAGACTTGTTCGTGGATGGCACAAGGGATCTGCAGCAGAAGCTTCGCGTTGACAACGGGAGGAGGAGAGGTATGACATGCGCTGCTAGGTTGCCCCGTCAGACAGAACGCAGATGAAGGGAGGAGCGCCAAGGTGCAGGAGGAGACTTGCGCGAGCGAAGTCAATGTCGTTGACCTCGTGTGGGAGGAGCGCGGGCTTCTGATCATTGCAATGCAGGCACAGAAGTTTATCGACGGGTACACTAGCAAGGTGAGACGGGATGGCATTTGGGGAGGGGGTGACGGAGAGGAGAGGAGATAGGTGGAGGAAGGAAGAAGAAGAGAAAGTGGAGGAGAGCAGGAGAAGGGAAGGGGGGGCGGGGTGGCGTAGGTAGGTAGGAGGAGG